CTATTACCCGGTGATTGTCTGCCCAGCAGCCCCTCTCGGCCGCGCTGCCACAGATAATGGCCCAGAACAAAGATGGCAGCTGCTTTGTAGGGGAACAGATTTGTGGCAAGTTGAGATAAAATAAAGAGGAAGGAGAGAGGGGAGAGGAGACGGTGGCGGGGGGTTGCGGGGAGCCGGGGGTGGTGCTCACAGAGAACATAAAAGGAAGAAAGAGGGAGCGAGGGGGAGAGAATGGAGGGCGCGAAGCCAGGATGTCGCGGGGAGGGACATGCGGTGGGGCTCGGGCTGGTGAAAGGAAGCCCAAGGGCTCGCTTTGTCTGGTAGTGATGACGATAATGAGGGTGATGATAATAATGAGGATAATGCGCCGTGAGGTCTGGGTGGTGCCCGTGGAAAGTGCCCCAGTCGCTGAGGCCAAACCGATCCTCTTCATCTTCATCTTTACTCAGACGCAGAGGTGGCTCCGGCCCTCCCCGGGGGCCTCGGGTGGAGGTCCAGGCTGGGAGGTGCCACCCAGCAAGGTGGTCCAGTTTCTAGCCTGCCACCCAGATTCTAGGCTTAAAGAAGCTCATCCAGTGGCGGGGGGGGAACTCCTTTTAAACAGCCCCCCAAATCTCCCTGCTCCTCACTCAGTGACCTCAGTTGACATCTCACTGGCATGCCTAGCTTCAGAGAAAGCCAGGAGATGCCTTCTTTTCCGTGAGCCCAATACGGCTCAGAGGAAAAGGCAGGTGCCTTAGTGAGGGAGGTGGGGGAGTGGGTGCAGGGTGGGCGGGTAGCTGTCTCCACCACGGGTGCCTCGGGATGAGCATTTCATGGGCATTGGTTAGGCACCCACAGCGGCCGAGGTGATGCCTGACCTAGAGAGGGGGTAGCGTGACCCCCCATTCTGCGGACAAGGCAGCTAAGTAAGGCCTAGAGAGCTGAAGTGACTGCCGAGGCCCCACGGGAGGGGCAGCCCCTGACCCCAGGGCAGTCCCATGCCCAAGTCCATTCTCACCAACACAGCGCAGTCCGCATTTCTGCTGGATTTCTCTTCCTTCCCCCAGAATCTCTGAGCGGGGCCATCTTCTTAATATTTGGGGCCGGAGTGGGTGGGGCCAGAACATGGATTTTATGATTTAAGGAGGGAGGAGGGTTAGGGCAAGCTTAGAGGAGGCGTGGACTGAGAGCAGACTGGGGGTGACTATGGTGATAACGGTGACAATAATATCTGCCAGTTATTTCTACTTTTTAAAGAACTTCCTGGCTAACAGCTCAGCTGAAGCTTGCAGCTGCCTGTGAGTGAGTGAGGGCAGCTATTAGCAGCTTTGTGGAGCAGGTGGGGGACCAGGCGCTGTCCCCCCAAAGCTGAAGAGACGGACCAGTCAGGCCTGAACCTGCATCTCTGCTCATGCTAGATGAGGTCCTCTTCCTAGAAGGCCCTGTCATACCACACTCTCCTCCTCCTTCAAGGCCTGGTGGGATGTCCCTTCCTCCAGGAAGTCCTCCCAGATTCCTCTCAGGCTTGTCTGCACCTGGAAGAGCACTGGCCCTGGAGAAGGGCCATGAGCACCTGGATGGCAGGGATTAGGTCCCATTTCCCTTGTGCTGCCCCTCCCCCGCCCAGCTGGCACCGCCCTGGGTTTGCAGGGGTGGGCTAGGATACCTGTACTATTGTGGGCTAGGGACATGGACCACTGTAGCAGGTGACCTCAGGAAAAATCACTACACACTCTCCAAGCCTTGGTTTCCTCATCTGTCAGTTGAGGGTGACAGTCATGCCTACCTTGATTGTGAGGGTGAGGTCGGGGGACAACGGTTGAGAGCAGCATGGAGTTGGCACATAGCAGGTGCTCAACCCACACTCCCTCTGCAGCAACATGGGGACAGAACCGACCCTACCTCTCAGGGCTGCACAAGCGAGGCCACCTGGATAGTCTAGGCACTCAGAGCAGAGCCGGACACAGAGTGTTTCTGGCAGTCTTGCCTTCTCACCGAATCGTATCTCTAGTCCCCAGCACCCTCCGACCTTACCCACAATGCCTCCTCTTTTGTGCTGTTGCCTAAGCCTCTTCCTATGTTAGATCAAGTGTTGTGTCCCTGGTGGGGTCTGATCAGAAGAGAGACCGTGGCAGGGAACAGGGTGGGGACAGGGGACAGGAAGAAGGCATTCTCCTGTGTTTGACTAGTGCACTCTGAAGCGAAACTCCGCAGCCCGCGTGGTAAGCTGTTCTGGAAGGCGTGGGAGCTGTGAAGCTCAAGGGTTTGGATCTGCACTGAAGAGCCACCGTGGGCTTATCCCTTCCAGACTCAGGCTTCAATGCCTCGGCCTGTTGCTAATCCTCATGCCCCCCAGGCTGGCACTTAGACGCTGGAACAAATGCCACTAATTTGTGGCACTTTTAACCAGACAAGTTGAGCCGGGGTGCAGAGTCTGAGGCAGCACCGCGTCCCGCAGGAGGCGGCCGGGAGATGCACACATCACCCCAGTCGTCCCAGGGCCCACATTTCCAAGCGGAGAAGGAAACAGGTGGAATTCATTGTGACCTCAGGCTTGGTTTAACCCAGCACAGCCCAGATGTTTTCATTTCGACCTGCCATCGAGGGAGAGTGGAGGTGTCTTTAACGCGATGTTTTACATTCGTGGTGTGTGTGTGTGTTTTCTCCCTACCGAGTCCTCAAGACCCAGCGTCTTTTGCGTTTACTGCGCATGGCAGTTCGGACTCACCGCCGGGCGGGCGCTCTGTGGACGGCGGCTGCGGTGCTGGGCAGGGCGGTTCCAGAGAGCGGTGCTGTTGGCACCTGCCCATGAGCCAAATCGTTTTTAACTTAAAAAAAAATTTTTAAAGAAAAGCAGGTGCAATTCTTCTCTCTATATAGGTAGGTCCTTCAGCCCCACTTTCTCTCTTTCTTTCTCTCTATATTTCATTATATATGTATATATAATCTATCTCTATTTATATACAGATACACACACACCTATAGTTAAGCTATTGAACCAGAACATTCTTTGAACTGATCCTGAATTGCTGGGGGACTTTTTTTTGTCCGGAGCATGGGGGCTGCTGGGCCACATTCAAGAGAAATTGGGGTGTCCTTGTCACCCCAGGGCCAGAGCTCAGCGCCTGTCTCCTCCCTGAAGAAAAAGATATATAAGGCCAAATGCCGTGAAATTTTCTGCTGTGAGGACAGCTAATTTTTCACACCCAGACGCACTGGCTGGGTTTGTTAAAGCTCAAGATAATCAAATAATCATTATAACTCATCTTCGCCCCTCCTGTCTCTCGCTCTTTGTACCATTAATGCCCCAGCGGGGAGCGGCTCTGGTGAGTTCAGACCCAGCGTATTTAGATAACCTTCCGCTTGGTCTTCTGAGAGCGAAGTTCCCCTCCTGGAGTATCTCACAACAAATGAACCAGTCCTCTCTAATCTTCTTATCGTTGTCGCCTCTGCTCCAGGCCTGGTTATCTCTCGGGCTTGCAAAGGAGGGAGAGAGAGAGGGGGAGAGAGAGGGAGAGAGAGAGAGACTTATACATTTGTGTTTTCTAGAAATTTATATAAACATATGTATATGCATGAAATCATAAAAAGGAGGTCCCAGGCAGGAAGCCAAGTTCTTTCTCTCTCTCTCTCTCTCCCGGTGAACAGCCCAGCGGCAGCTGCTTGGCCCCTCTGCCCGCCAGAGAGGCACAGAGAAGGTTCTGGGCCAGTGTGGACTCATCTTTCTCCACCGGGCGGGATTGGGAGGAGGACGGATGGGGCAGAGGGAGCGCCTCCCCAGACAGGACCCGAGGCCTGGCCTGGTCAGTGGGGGGATCAGGGAGCAGCACCCACATGGCCGGCTCCCGCGGGGACTCACCTCCGTCTGGCACCGAGGTTCCTTCATTTCAGTCCCTTTCCTCCCTTTGGCCTTCACTCCCTGCGGGCCATTTTCTTTCCTTCCCTCCTCCCCGAGAGTGTGTGTGTGTGTGTGTGTGTGTGTGTGTGTGTGTGTGTGTGTGTGTGTGTGTGTGCGCGCGAGCTCCGCGGTTCTCCTTTCAGCCGGTCGTGTTCCCCCCTCTCCATCTTGGCCCCTGCTCTGCTTCCCTGTCTCTTCTCTCTCTCTGCCTTTGTCTCCTTCTCCGTCTTTTTCTTCCCTGCGTCAATGTCGGATGGTCTTCCGGCCTCTGCCTCAGTGGCCCGCTTTCTCTGGGTCCGTCCTCGCCTGTCTCCCTCTCTCAGCTTCTCCCTTTCCTTCCCAGTTTCCCCGCCAGCCCCTCCCTGCATGTCCCCCTCTCTTTGCTTTTCCTTCCCCGCCAGCAGCCCCCACCCCGCCCTCCCTGCCCCCCACCCTCCATCGCCTGTCCCGTCACCCCTTATACTCCTGTTCCCTCTCCCACCTCCCATCAGCCTCACCTCCATTCCTCCCTTAATTTTGGATGAATATGTTCTAGCCAAGGCATGGAGCGAGAGAGAGAAGAGGAACCTTCTAAATAAATCATTTCGTCATGTGAACAGCTAATCTGCAAAGGACGGTGGCTATTTATCGAGTTTTTAGCAGCGCATGTTAAATAGTGATAGGGAGGCCACATTCACAAACCTCATCAGAGCACTGGGGAGGGATTTTTAACTTCGTGGCCCAGAAAGAAAAATGGTGAAGATGAAGATAAGAGGGTGGCTTTGGCCCTGAACCGTTAGCGGCAGCAATTAAGCAGGTGGCAACTCCCCGAAACCCCCGCCATCCAGCCCCCAGCCGAGTGAGCTCAACACCCCCCCCCTCACCCTCACCGACTGACCCCTTCCGGAAGCCACTCCTATTTTATAGCCGAGCCAGACAGGTGGAGTTTGCCCACAGCTGCCACCACTAAGTGGGCCTCAACGGGCAAAAACTTCACCCCCCCGTGCCTCAGTTTCCCCATCCAGTTCCTCCTCCAAGAGGGTTTGACACCTGAAGGGAAAAAGATTACTTGCTTTGATAAAGGAAGAGAAACTTTTAGGATTCAAGTTAATATTAATATTCCAAGTAAAATGACACAATTCCTTCCAAATTATTTTTTTTCACAGAAAATTGTCTTAAATGGGGGCTACGGGTACATTTGAATGTGTTGGGTCTGCTGGTGGTTGGGGGGCTCCCAACTGTGGGCATGGGAGTTCCTGGTGTTCTTAAAATAGCTCCAAATGCTGCTGCTGTTAATAATAATAACAATAATCATCATAATAATACAAATAATGATATTAACACCTGCTTCCTCTTTTTTGAGTGTGTGCCATGTGGTGGGTACTCTGTTCTATGCTTTCCCAGACTTATTTTAGGTGATTTTAACTTGTTTCCTTGTCTCTCAACCCTTTCCCGGAGACATTACATTGAGTTTTCATGCCACGCAGGGTCGATGAAGACCGAGACGCAGAATTCAGCACTGGAGAGAAAGCAGCTCGGAATAATGGCAGCTGAGGCCAGTGCTGGGCTCTGAGGGTAATAAGCTAAACAGGACCCAGCCTTGGAACTCAGAGCCCTCATATGGGGACCAGGGAGACACAGTTAATGCTGCCCAGCAGTGGACTGGCCTGCTTTGCAAGGTGGTGAGCCCCCTGTCGACAGGAGGCAATCAAGCTCACACATCCTAAAAGGAATGCCTATGTCAAGCGTGAAGGCAGATTAGATTCTGGGCTCAGACTGACCAGGGTTTGAGTCCTGGCCCTGCCTCTTGGCGGGGGTGGGAACTAAAGCCCATGTATGTCAGTCTCCTCAGCTGTGAAATGTAAAACGGGCGTATTAACACCTCACAGGGTGGGTAGCTGAGAGCGCTGGGGAGTTTATGCAAATGGCCTGGCAAACAGTACTTGCTCAATAAATGGCAGCTGCTCAATGGGAAAAAAATATCATTACTTCTGGGTCTTCTGCTTGCTGGCCTCCGAAGGAGGGGGCAGTGACTGAGACTGAGGCCCAGGGAGGCGGCTGACTTGGGTGTCTAACCCCGGCTTCTGGCTCGTACTCGCCCTGTGATCAGGTGCCTGCTGGGCCTCAATTTGCTCACCTGTAAAATGGAATGATTAAAGTAGAGAAAGGACTCATGGCATGGGAGGAATCTATGAACAGCTACCCCTTATGGTGCCTGGGCCAGGGACTTGTGAATGGGGGTTAAGGGTGTGGCCCTGGGTTCAGGACCTAGCACCAGCACCGCGACTTACGTGCTGTGTGACCTTGTATAAATCACTTTACCTCTCTGTGCCTCATCTGCTAAGTGTCCCCGCCTCATCGGGCTGTGCTGGGTGTTTCAGTCTAGGCTCCCTAGCTAGAGTTTCTGTTCTAGGAAGGCAGGGCCGAGGGTCTCAGGGCGGCACACACAGCTGGTTTTAGTAAACAGTGTTTGTTGTTCGGCTGTTTGATAAACAGGCAAATAGTAACCACGAGTGGCCACAGCAGACACTGTCGGCTTCTGAGCATGTCATTTGGCCCACTCTGGGCAGTTCAGAGGACGGTCCTCAAACACACTGATGGCGTCCCACCTCCACTGCCCGCCTCTCTCTGCCTGGTGGCAGGGCTTCCTGTGGCCACAGGGGTGAGCTCAGTGTTCACTCAGGGTAGGTCAGAAGTGCCAGGAAGTGAGTGTCCCCAGAGCTACCCTCCATCAACAGCGGATGGGAGCAGGGGGACAAAACTCCCGGCTTCCTTGCCCTGCAAGGCACGTTCCGCCGTCTCCCAGTGGGAGCAGCCCTGCTGCCCCCCGCGGTCACCTCCATTCATTCACGTGTGCCATGTTGTTTCCCTCCTCCTCCTCGCCTTGCTGTCTCCTGCCGCCTCCCCGAAGGTTGTTGCAGCCCCCCAGAGGAACTCAGAGTCTGCCTGCTGGGAGCCCGGCCTGGCGCAGCTGCTGCCGCCTGCACTCCGTGAGGTGCCTCCCTCCCCCACGAACAAAACATTTTTTTCTCGCCTTTTCACATTTACAACTCCAATCGGCACTGGGAGGAGATGAGGAGGGGCGCTGAGAACTTCTAAAAAGCAGGTCTCGCCCTCATCTCTGAGGGTCGACACTGGCTAGAGAGCTGAGCCTCCCTCAGCTCAGGGGGTGGGTAAAGGGCCCCCCAGGCAGGGGGAACAGGGGGCAGGGGCCCTGTCGGGGGAGGTGGGTGGTACATTGTCAGAGAGTAAGGGGACAGGGCCGCTGGCAACTCACTGTGTGATCTTTGGGAACTCACGTCACAGCCCTGAGCCTCAGTGTCCCCATCTGTCAAACGGCCCCATATGCCACCTGCTCTGTCCTGCCACTTCTGTAGAATGGGATGTGGAAACGGAGAGGTCCACAGTGGCAAAGGGACTTAGGGGTGCGACCCAAAGGTAACAATTCACGTATTCTTTCGATGGCCACTGGTGCAGCACCTACTGTTGAGTCGCCTTCCAGGCTCGGTTTCCTTCACTGCTTTTCCTCCAAGCCTTCGCTCTCATGGGGGAACATTCTAGTGGCAGAGAGTGCTGCTAAAGAACAAAGCTATGAAATGTAGATGCACAGGAATGAATTTTATGGGGAAAAAGTCTGAATAAGCAGACAGGGAGGGAGAGGGGACATATTTTAGACAAGGCCTCTGGGAGCAGAATTGGAGGCAGGTGGAAGAGCCCACTGTTGGGAGAAGAGCAAGCCAGGCACAGAAGACAGTAGGTGCAAAGGTCCTGGGGCAGTGGGATTTGTTGGAGGTTTAGCAAGGCGGCCAGTGTAGCTGGGACACGGTAAGCAAGGCAGAGTGGGAGGTAATGGGAGTGGACATCAGAGAGGCTGTGGGGGTTCAGAGCCCACAGGGCCTGGTGGCGGGGGTGCTAAAGGGAGGGGTTTGCTTTTAATCTGAGTGAACCAGGCTCTGGGAGTCAAAGCTGGGTGGATGACATCATGCGATTTGTATTTAAGAACCATCCTGGCTGCTGTATGGAGAAAGGCCCATCGGGGGCAAAGCAGAGGCAGGGAGGCGATGGATGGGTCCCTTCCCTCTCCAGTCCACTCTCCAGCCCATCACATGGGTCCCTGCTTCCCACGCAGGCACGTCCCTCCAATGTCCAATCCCCAGGCCTCTTGCAGGCCAGGGAGGAAGTGACGGGCTGCAGATGAGGGGGCAGGCAACCGCCTCTAATTTCCACAGGCACCGTGGGTAAAGGCTGTGGCAATGTGCAATTAAGCTCCGGGTTTTAAAAACACGGTAATAAGGGACACGGGCCGAGGAGGCAGCCTGGTAATTTAAATGATATCCAGTGTGAATATGGAGTGTCTAAATGTTCTCTTCCAGAGATTTATATCAGCATAGACCTGCCTCATTCATTTATTTGGTTAACTAGCTGCTCATGGGCACAGCCTCCCAAGCGCTCTGGGTGGAAGGCAGAGACCTGGGTGGACACTGGGGGCGTCCTCCTGCAGGGCTGACAGGGGCAGGGGGTGGGGATGGTAAGGACCACAGCGACCACTGGCCTGTGCTGAAGGCCTACTGTGTGCCTTGCATTCAAAAATCTGTTGTGAGCCCTGTCTGGTGTGGCTCAGTGGATTGAGCACGGGCCTGTGAACCAAAGGGTCACCAATTGGATTCCCCCCAGTCAGGGCACATGCCTGGGTTGAGGTCCAGGTCCCCAGCAGGGGGCATGTGAGAGGCAACCACACATTGATGTTTCTCTCCCTCTCTTTCTCCTTCCGTTCTCCTCTCTCTAAAAATAAATAAAAAATATTTTAAAAAATCTATTGTGAGAATTAGAAGTGATGATATTCAACCTGTGTGATGAACTGCCTCATGCATGTGAGGAAACTGAGGCACAGGGAGGAGAAATGACTCGTGCAAGGTCACAGAGCCAGGGAATGGGCTAGAACACAGGTCTCTGCATACCGGAGCTGGGGCCGTGCCCGTGAGCAGTTACCTTACCCTGTGCCCTGGCCTCTGGGCCTGCCATGCACTGGTGGCCGTCCCCCATCTAATGGTCACACGACCGTCAGAATTCACCCGAGGGCCCTGTGCACAAAGTCGTCGCCGTGCTTGGTCTCTCCAACCTGCGCAGGACTCGACAGATCACATGGGCGGGGGCTCTTGAACTCAGATGATTCCAGGGGCTGATGAGGCGACGCTTTGAAGCGGAATCAGCAGGCGTCTGGGCCTGGCTTTTGCTGTTTTCCACGCATGTCAGGGACACAGCCGTGAGAAATGGGCAACTTCCATCTCTGCATAAGAAAAACAGAAACACGGATGGGCTGCCTCTTCCACTGCGCCCCGACTGGGGACTGAACCCGCAACCCAGGCGTGGGCCCTGAAGGGAATCGAACCGGCGACTGTTCACTTCGTGGGATGAAGTGAAACCAATGGAGCCACACCGGTCAGGGCCCCAGGGACATAATTTGAAAAGAAAACTAGGAACACTCCAGTACGTGGAGAATCATTTTGCTATAAAGAGAAAGTAACAGGCCAAAATACAATGATAACAAACCAATGTTACTACATTCTAACGAGACGCAATTTGGCAAAGGCTCCCACCTGAAACTGGTGCCCTTTGTTAAAAAAGGAGCTAAGCAAACGAACACCTACCCATCTGCCGACCAGCCCTCCCACCCTGGGCTACGCGCAGGCAAAACCAGGTCACCAAAGGGCACGCGCGAGGACATTCACAGAAGCTTCATTTGTAACGCTGGGAACTACCCAAGCATTCAGCCGAAGGGCAATGGGTAATCAATGGTGTGTGTATTCAATGGAATATCACGCAGCAGTGAAAAAGAATGTACCACAAACACACTACGCAGCATGATGAAGTTCACGGACATAACATTGAGTGGAAGAAGCAGTCCCAAGAGGCCATGTGCTTGCCCACCCAGTGATGACTGGGCGCGTAAATGTGGTCCATCCCCACGGGGAGATATGATTCAGCCTCGAAAAGGAATGAAGGGCTGAGATGCTGCACACACAGGAACCTTGGGAACGTGATGCTGAGTGAAAAGGGTCGGACACAAAGGACCACATGGCATCAGGTTCCACTGATGTGAAATGTCCAGGAGAGGCAAGCCATAGAGACGGAAGCAGGTGAGTGGTTAATTGCCAGGGGCTGGAAATGAGGGGGGATGGGGTGAGTGGGGGATGGGGGCTGATGGCTGGAAGACACGGGGTTTCTCTTTCAGGTGATAAAATACTCTGGAGGGGATTGTGGTGATGGTTTTAGACCATTGTGAATACACTAAAAACCATCACATTATATACTTTAAGTGGGTGGATTGTGTGGTGTGTGAATTATATCTTAAGCTGCTCTTTTTTTAAGGGTACACACTAAGCGATTTCATTTGACTGAAGCTCCAGAATGGACAAAACTTCTCTTGGGAGAACGGAAGTCGGAGCAGTGGGCGTGCCTGGTGAGGGCGTTGACTGGGAGGGCCCCTGGGGCAGGTGTTGTTCTCTAACTTGATCTGGGTGTAAGGGTGGGTGGTGCTGCTCGCCAGCTGTGTGACTTTGGGCCAGTGACTCACAGCTCGGAGCCTTAGTCCCTCTTCTGTCAAATGGAGGTGACAATGGTCCCTTGCCCAATCTCCTTGTGCAAGGCCTAAAAATGGGAGCCCTTAAAGGAGCTCTTCTCAAGTGTCAGCCTGAGCATGGGTCACCTGGAATTTTGTTGACATCAGTGTGGGTGGTGCATTTGGAACCAGCTTCCAGAGGGCACTGAGGCTGTGGGCCTGGGGACCACGCTCTGGAGTAGCCAGGTGTTGGAGCGCTCAGCACTCTGCACAGGCTGCATAAACGCAAGTGTTGGTCAGCGGACAAAGACTGGGCACCCACCGCCTTCAGGGGCTGTCTTTCCAGAGCTTCCTCCTCTTACCCAGGCCCCCCGCCCCCGCCCACTGCTCCCCAATCCCTTTCCTCCGTGAAGGGCAGCAGGACCCCGTGGCCCTAGAGTCCCTCGGCCTGGTCCTGCCCACACATGCTTCCAGGGCCTGGTTCACCCTGCCAGCCACGGGGCAGGTTCCTTCTGCCCAGAGATACCTTGGGTGGGTTTCTAGGAACAGCTGCCAGCAGCTGTGATATAATGACCGCCCGGAGAGTCGTTAGGAGATAATTAATATTTGCAGCACGGAGCTGTGACTGCTGAGCTGCCCCCGCCCACGGAGCTGGGGCCTCCGGACCTTCTCCGGGCAGGTGAGGACTCCAGACCCTCAGGGCGGCAGCACCTTGGGGGCAGGGGAGGACCCTGGATGCAGGGGCTGGGGTGTGGTCAGTGGGGTCTGTTGGGGGGGCTCTCCCTCTACCCAGCTGTTAGAGTTGGTGGCTTCCAGAGGTTGCCAGGCTGGATGCATCACCAGGAGTGGTCAGAGGGTCACCAGGGCCAGGGCTCAAGGTGGCCGCGGCCCCTCCTCGCACCTGAGGCCAGCTGGCCTTTGGCGGTTGCCATGGTGATGCCTGTCCCCAGCAGTTGGGCAAGGACGTTGCAGCAGCAGCAGCTGTGTGTGAGTGCTGGAGAGCGAGACAGTCTGCCTCGGCTCCCCTCTGCTTTTCCATCTGTGAGGGGCACACATCTCAGACACCCAGCGCCGCCTCCCTCCACGCTCGTCCAGGGGCAGCGGTGGCTGGGGGCCTGGGCCCTGGTCTGCAGCAGGCCATTGGCTTGCACCGTGACTCCACGGGGGCCTGACTGCACTCCCAACTCATGTTTGGTGCCTTTGAGGCCCCTCCCACCGGCTGACCATCGAACTCTCTGGAACCTCAGTTTCCAGCTCTGTAGAGTGGGGTCAGTTGCACTCAGAGGACTGTGGTTAGGATTAAATGATATAATGTAATCAAAACACCTTGCTCTGCCTGGGAGTGGGACCTTGCCACTCCCAGGTGGTGGGACCCAGAAGCTTAAAAGGGAAGAGACTTTTTCTAAGGTGTGGGCTTCATTATTAAATGCCTACTGTATGTACATTCCTTCCTCCACTGGCTTCTTCCTGAACAGCTGTCTCCTCTCACTTAATTCCTACTCTTCGAGCAAAGCTGGCCCGATCACCCCCATGGTACAGATGAGGAAACTGAGGATCGGAAGGTCAAACTGGCTACATCCCCAAGGTCACACAATGAGGACACTGTGGAACTGGAGTTCCAGCTCCCAAAGTCACACGTTCCCCTCTCTGCATCATGGAGCTCACTGGCCTCTTGTTTTCTGGGCCGGCCTGCCTTCGAATCCGGGCTCTCCCACGTCCTTGCAGCGTGACCTTGGCCGAGTTACCTTTCTGAGACTCGGCGATGTCTCTGCAGAATGAGAGTAATGGCGGGACCTGACTCAAAGACCCCCTGTATAGATTTAAGTGGACGTGAGTTAAGCGTGTGGTGTATAGTGAATGCCCGCCAGTGGACGTGTTAATTTCATTGTTGCCGTCATTATTATTTCTCCATCTGTGGGAGCTTGGACCCCATCATCTCTGAGTTCCCAGCTCAGCAGGCAGGGGGGTCTGTTGCCATGTGGACTTGGAGTGACCCTGGGCTTTGGAGTCTGGGCTGGGTCATGGGGCTCAGAGACGAGCCCTTTCAGGGAAGGTGACGGCAGGGGGCACTGCCAGTTCTGGACGCTCTCAGCCTGCTTTCTGGTCGTCTGCCTGTTCCTGCCACGCAGCATTAGGCCGGGTGTGTGAGCGTGGAGGGGGGCCGGTGAGGGAGGGCGTGCCTTGCCCTGGGAGGCTGCCTTCTGTCGCTAGACAAATAAACGCACAGCACCCATGCTCGCTTGGAAATGGAGTGAGGCGTTAAATACAAACAAACCGCAGAGACCAAGGTGGAAGGCCGGCTTCCTGGGACCCAACAGGCAGAAGTCGCTCAAGACGCAGCTGGCGCTCCTGGTGCCTGCTGCCTGCAGCCGGGGGCTGACCAGCACCCCTCCAGACAGCACGTGGAGGTTCGTGTGGGCTGCAGTGTCTGCCTGGTGTCTGCCACTGCCTCACCGAGGGCTGTGAGGCACCCCCAAGGTCGTCATGATGGCCCCCCACACCCCACTTCTGAGGTCTTCCAAGCTGAGCGCCTTCCCCGTGTACCCCAGGCAGAACAGCCCTCCAGTGCGGCTGTGGCCCAGCACGGCTTGGGGTCCCTCACTCACACAGCCCTGGAGAAACTGCTGGGGAGATAGACAGGCAGGGCACCACACCTTGACTCTGCCCCTCAGAGGCTGTGTGACTCTGGACAAGTCACCTCACCTCTCTGAGCCTCCTCAGCCTCCCTGTTTGTAAAATGGCGAGTGTACTAGTACCGAATATGGGGTGGTTATGGAGATTAAAACCAAGGGTATAGAGTCCCCACCATGAAGGCAGACTTGATCAATGATGGGACTAGTATTAGTTACTACTTGATCTCACACAAGTGAACCGAACTCACGTAGTAAATCTGAGCAATGAGGATAACTACACACTTACCCTGGGGGGGGGGGCGATGCGCCCACGAGGCTGAACACCTGTGTGTTTTTTTCCCTCTCGCTCCTCGGACAGGTAACAGGGCAATAATGGTAATAGTAATAACTAAGATTTTGGAGCACTTATATTGATGCAAGCCTGTGCTACCCCATAAGTAGTCATTGTGGCTACTTACTTATTTATTCATTGTGGCTTTTGAAATGAAAATGAAATAAAGTGAAACAATTCAGTTTCTTCTCCCACAGCTGTGGCTGCATTTCAAGCTAGCCTCCTGTGGCTGGTGGCTCCGTATAGAAAGTTCTTTGGGATGGTGCCAGTTCGGACCAGCCTGTCTCAAATGTAAGGTGCAGGGGGATCACCGAGGATACGTGGGGTTAAGCGCAGACTCAGATTTGGAAGCCTGGGGCCGAGCCTGAGACTACCATTCTGCCCAGGTCCATCGACTGCACTTTGGGTAGCGAGGGCCTCGAGCTGGGCTGCCCAGGGCGGTGGCCACTCTCCACACGGGACACTGGAAATGGCGTGTTCAAATCGAGGTGTGTGGTCAATGTAACGCACGCACTGAGTTTCAAAGACTTCACACAAAAAAATTTCCAACTATCTATGTTGGTGTGTTTTATGTGGATATCGTGTTGAAGTAATAGCTTAGATGCATTGGGCTGAATAAAAAATATTTTAAAAATTAATTTCACCTGTTGCTCTTTGCTTTTTCTTCTTAATATGTCCAGTGGAAATTTTAGAATTACATATGAGGCTCCCCTCTTTCTACTGGATGGCATCGATCATGGCCGCGCCTGAGTGCTGTTTATGAA